ACCATGCTCGCGCCGTGAAACCAAAAACACGACAGGAATTTGCCGCTTCCGGCCTCCGAGGGCCCTTGCCGGGCACTGGGACCGCCAAAAACGACTCAGGATGAAAAACTGGTCCCGGGGAGAGGGGCCAGGACTGCTGGGGGCGCCGCCGTCACACACCAGGACATCGGGTGCCTGGGAAAGGGGGGGGGCATGACGTACCGTGCGGGCGCGGCCGCAAGAGACCTTCGCGAGGGACCCGGCCCCGAAACCCGCAGGCGCGAGATGCAAGCAGGGGGGGCTCAGAACGCCCTGAACGCAGCAGCTCCTTTCGGCGGTGGACAAACCTCCCTTTAATGAACCTACCCTTAGCGAAAACGGCCTAGGACCGAAACCGACGGACCTGGACCCTTAAAAATGACGGCCGCGACGCCCTTTACATCCCTTGACCGAACCGAAAACGGCCAATTCCTTAATCGACGTGTCAGGGTAGGAGGTCCATCAACCTCCGATCCTTCCACGGCAACAGGAAGCCACCGCGCAGCGCGCGGACCGAAGAAATTCAGGGGGCATCCCGACGAAAAGCACTCCGTCTCTTGATGCGCGTCCCCTCTGTAACGTGACACGCCTCCCCCCGTCGTGGGGATCCAGCACCACACAGCGCCTGTGCGCACCAGGGGCAGCGCTGGGGGTGCTTCCAGGGGGGGGGGGGGGCGATACATGCTACGGCGGGGGGAGGGAGGGGGGACATGTCGCGCGTTATGGACCAGAGGGTTTTGAAAGAACACTGGCGGTCCATGCCTCCTACATGCTCCCGCTCGCGCCCCGACCCCACGAGGAGCCAGAGCGGGGGCATGGACAACGTCCTGACCTCCGGGGCCACGTGTTCTATCCATGCTCTGCCTCCCCTGGCGCCCACAGTGGAGGGCAGCAGCAGGGGTATGGATCGAGCGTCGATCGTCGACCACCTTCCGCGGGCTGAAGCCACGAGCGACGAACGTATCCGCATCCGCACCCCCGCAGTCTGGATTCTGGGGCACGATCCCGCGGATCCGCGAGCGCACGGACACGTTCCGCGCGGGGCATCCGCGAAAAGAAACGCCCCGTATCCGCAAGGTCGCGGCCCAGGGACCCGGCCCGCGAAGCCGCAGATCCGACACGTGTTCGCCCGCGAGGGAGGGTCGGGGGATGCAGCGCGCACGGCTGGCCCCTGAGGCTTCGGAGTGCCTCAAGGGTCGGCCAGGGGGGCCGATGAGATTGTGTGTTCGGAGGAGAAGGAGGAGGAAGAGGAAGAGGAAGAGGAAGAGGAGGAGGAGGAGGAGGAGGAGGAGGAGGAGGAGGATGGGCTTGTCGGGCCTGCGAACTCCGCAGCTTGCCTGTGAGCACCGCGCCATGCCTCTGGGGGATCAGGCCCCCCCTCTCGAGGACCTACTGACCCGTCGGGTCAATCCAAGCCCAGGTCAGCCAGGCCCTGCAATATCCTGCACGCTGACCCGGGTCAGTGCAACCCTGGTTGTGCAGACTCCTCTAAGATCTGGCGCTCTGGCTGACCTCCGCTTGCATTGACCCCCGTCTCAAAACTCCTGACCCCCCCCCCGCGCACGCTCGGTACCGACACGGGGAGGGGGGGAGAGGGGGAGGGGCGACCCCCCGCAACGGACTTTGTGGGCTGGACGAACGGAACAGCAATATCCTGAGCGCACGGGGCCCGTGCCATCGGACATGGCTCGGCGGAGAGAAGCTGGGGGGGGGAGACAGGCGGGGCGACCCCCGCAATGGACGCTACGGGTTCGCCGAACGAAGCAACAATAGCCTGGGCGCACGGGACCCATGCGATCAGGACTCGGCGGAGGAGAGCCCCAGACGGACAGCCCTCGGCGGCCCTCCTCCTCCTCCTCCTCCTCCTCCTCCTCCTCCTCCTCATCATCATCATCATCATCATCATCATCAGCATCACCATCATCAGCATCAGCATCAGCATCAGCATCAGCATCAGCATCATCAGCATCATCATGATCATGATCATGATCATGATCATCATCATCATCATCATCATCATCATCATCATCATCATCATCATCATCATCATCATCATCATAATCATTATCATCATCATCATCATCATCACCATGATCATCATCATAATCGAAATCAGCAGCATCATCAATCATCATCATCAGCAGCATCATCACCATCATCGAACTCATCATCAGCATCATCACCACCATCAACATCACCATCATCGTCATCATCAGCAGCATCAGCATCAGCGTCATCATCGTCGCTTTTCGTATCATAACAGAAGGAATGCGAATATTCAAAATTAAAACAATCAGAATACTGTTACTAATCATGATACTGACCATTGCCATCATCAGCAGCCTCATCATCATCAGCATCACTATTACCAGCATGATCATGATTTTCATCACTATCATCAGCATCATCATCGTCATCATCTCATTATCACCATCATCATCAGCGCCAGCATCATCATCTTCATCCCCTTTATCATTATCAGCACCATCAACATTATCCGCAGCAGCATCACCATAAGCACCAGCATCATCATAATCTCATCACCATAATCATCGGCATCAGCATCAGCATCATCATCGTGATCGTGATCATCAGCAGCATCACCATACGCATCAGTATCATCAGCATCCTCGTCCCCATCATCCCTAACACACTATTATCAGTACCATCATCACCAGCATCGTCACCATCATCATCACCACAAGCATCATCATCAGCACCATCATCATCATCAACATCATCATGGACGTCACCATCATCATGACCATCATCCTCAGCATCATCCTCATCATCATAATCATCATCATCATCATCATCATCATCATCATCATCATCATCATCATCATCATCGGCATCATCATCAACATTCAAAAAAACATCATCGTCCTGATCCCCCTCCTCATCCGCCTCATCCTGGTCGTCATCGTCATCGTCATCGTCATCAGCATCACCATCATCATAACCAGAATCATCATCTCACCACAATCGCTATCATCATCATCCTCATACTCACCCTCATCCGCATCCTCATTATCATGCTCATTACCAGCATAAGCATCAGCATCATAAACATCAGCATCATTAGCAGCAGCGTCAGTTATCCAAGTATCCTCATCATCATCGTCAAGATCATCATCCTCGCGCCCCCACAGCATCATCCTCATCCCCATCCTCATCCTCATCCACATCATGCGCATCCTCATCTTCATAATCCTCATCTTCCTCGTCATCATCGTCATCATCATCAGCAGCAGCATCATTGTCATACTCATCCTCCTCCGCATTATCATCAACCTCACCCTCGTCATCGTCATAATCCATCGTCCTCATCATTATCGTCATCAACATCATGATCAAAATCATCGGAATCATCAGCATCACCATCATCATCAACATTCCCATCATCATCTTCCTTCTCCTCACACTCATCATCAGCATCACCACCATCATCATCATCATCATCATCATCACCACAGTCGCCATCATCATCATCATCATCATCAGCATCAACAGCATCAGCAGCATCATCATGATCGCAATAGCCACAATCACCATCGATATTGCCATCGTCATCATCAGCATCATCATCCCCACCGCCATCAACATCATCATCATCATCATCATCAACAGCATCATCATCATCATCATCGCCACCATCATCATCATCATCATCAGCATCATCACCATCACCATCGTCATTGTGATCCTCATCCTCGTCCTCCTCCTCCTCCTCATCATCATCACCAACAGCATCATCATCATCATCCTCCTTCCCCTCCTCCTCATCATCATCGCCATCATCATCATCACCACCATCATCATCACCACCCCCATCGCCCCATCATCAGCATCATCATCATCACTAGCTAGCATCATCATCACCAACACCATCAGTATCATCATAGTTCATCTCATCATCATCATCATCATCATCATCATCATCATCATCATCTTCATCATCAGCTTCACCAGCATCATCACTAGCATCATCAGCATCATCATAACCATCACCATCACCATCACCCTCACCCTCACCATCACCATCACCATCACCATCACCGTCATCATCATCATCATCATCATCATCATCTTCATCATCAGCTTCACCAGCATCATCACTAGCATCATCAGCATCATCATAACCATCATCATAACCATCACCCTCACCATCACCCTCACCATCACCATCACCATCACCATCACCAGCACCATCACCATCACCATCACCGTCACCATCATCATCATCATCATCATCATCATCATCATCATCGTCATCATCATTATCAGCATCATCACCATCACCATCGTCATTGTGATCCTCATCCTCGTCCTCCTCCTCCTCATCATCATCACCAACAGCATCATCATCACCATCCTCCTTCCCCTCCTCCTCATCATCATCGCCATCATCATCATCACCACCATCATCATCACCACCCCCATCGCCCCATCATCAGCATCATCATCACTAGCTAGCATCATCATCACCAGCACCATCAGTATCATCATAATTCATATCATCATCATCATCATCATCATCATCATCATCATCATCATCTTCATCATCAGCTTCACCAGCATCATCACTAGCATCATCAGCATCATCAGAACCATCACCATCACCTTCACCCTCACCATCACCATCACCATCACCATCACCATCACCCTCACCATCACCATCACCATCACCATCACCATCACCATCACCATCACCATCACCATCACCGTCATCATCATCATCATCATCATCATCATCATCACCATCACCATCACCGTCATCATCATCATCGTCGTCATCATCATCAGCATCATCATCATCATCATCAGCATCATCATCATCATCATCATCATCATCATCATCATCATCACTCCCATCGTCATCCTCTTCCTACTCCTCCTCCAACTCCGACGCTCCTCCCCCGTGAACCTCAGCTCCCAGTCGGCCTCACCTCGGCCATTCTGTCAGCCCAGCCGCCGTGGACACGGGAGTGCTGGCGCCGGTGTAGCCGCTCGGGCACGCCGACGCCGCCCTGCCCAGCAGGCCCCTCCACGCTTCGCCCTCCAGCGTCACCGCCTCCGAGAAGTCGGAGAGCAGCACCCCGTCGTGGCCCTCGAGGATGGATCGGCGGCGACGGAGGGGGGGAAGTGGGAAGGGGTGGGCCTTCTCAGAAGGCTCGAAGTGCTCCGCCTTCTGAGAAGGCCTTCTCCTTCTCACGTCCCCCCTCGCTCGCCGCCGAGTGGAGGTGGGGAGCGGGGGGATCAGTAGGCGCAGCCGCGACCGAAGACGGAGGCATCCGAAAGGACGCAACACTCGTCCGAAGGCAGCATGGCGAGAGCAGGCCAGAGGCGACTCGGTACAAGAGGCCGCGTGGGGACATAGAAAGGGTAACGAGCCCCTGGCCTTGAAGGGTCGGCCTCCTCACGGGTCACGACTGCAACGCCTGCTGCGCAATGAGGACGAATTCGCCACCGTTCCCTCCTCTGGCTGGGGCGCGTGAGAACACCTGTTGGCTGTCCGGTGGGGTTTCTGCAATTTTCAGGGGTCGCGCTTCCCTCCTCCCTGCAGGCACAAGCCCACCTCAAGGTCGCTGCACGGCGGTCAGGCAGCCTAGATATGAGAGCAAGGTCCTAGAAGCCCCCAAAAGGTGCCCAAGGAGCGCTCTCGGACGACCGGCATGCTGAAAACACAGCGTGGGAATCCCACCAGCCCTCTGGGCGTGGGTGATTGGGGCGCTTCCTCTCCGAACCCCTTGTTGCACATCCCCTGGGTGAACCACTGCCCCCTGTTCATTAAAACCCGCTCCCCATCTCGACCGGCCGCCAAACAGACTCAATGCGGGCAACCCCACCACCATCCCTCAAACAAAACCAATACAAAGCGCAAGTGACGTCAAAATCTGGATCGTGAGCGGGACTCCCGCGAGCACTCTGCAATGGATATTTACCAAAACAGCGAGTACTGTGAGTGGTCTGAATAGGGGAGCAATCAATGATAGAAACATCAAAACTCGGAGGTCCGCGCGCCAGGGGCGGCGCCGGAGGCGCCGCCAGGCGGGTTTCAGCGCCGATCCGAAAAACCCGCGCGAGCCTCCGATTTTTCGATGTTTGTGTCAGTCTTCGCTCCCCTACTGAGCTGCATTGAGAAACGCTATTCTATTCTATCGGCGGCGGCGACAGGGGCGAATAGCCCAGGGGCGGGCATTACACGTATTCGCCCGGGAGCCTATTCGAAGACACAGATCATGGGCGCCCCTGGATACATGTACTCCCCCCTGGGCTGTTCGCCCCTATCGTCGCCTCCGATTCTGGAACCCACCAGGCGAAAGATCTGCCGCCCGCGAGCCGTGCCGTGCCGCGCCGTGCCCCGCGCGCCGAGCCCGCGCGCCGTCACGCGCCGCGCCCCGGGAATTCTGCAAATGCGAAGGGCCGTGTCGTGCCGTGCTGTGCCCGCGACGCCCCTGCCGAACTGCGCCGCGCCCAGGTTCTAGAATGCCCCATAACGTGGATGGGCCTGTTTTTTCACCACCACCACCACCAGAAGTTGGAGGGGGAGGAGGAGGAGGATGTGGAGGAGGAGGAGGACGAGGAGGAGGAGGAGGAGGAGGAGGAGGAGGAGGAGGAGGAGGTGGAGGAGGAGGAGGATCCCCTCCCCCTCCAACTTATGTTGTGGTGGTGGTGGAGAACAGGCCCAGCAAACGCGGCGCGCCATGCCGTGCCGTGCCGTGCGGAGAACGTGCCGCGCCGGCCCCGCGCGACTCGCGGGGCTGGCGCGGCACGTCTCTCGGGCGCGGCGTGCCATGCTGCGCCCAAGAAGCCTGCGGTGCGCAGGCCGTGCCGTGGCGTGCCGTGCCGTGGCCGCGCAGGGCGGCCCGCAAGAGGCCCCGAAAGGCCCCCCCGAGGGCCCCAAAAGAGCCCCAAGACGACCCTTACGGCTCACAAAGGGTGCCAAATGAGATCCAAGATGGCTCCAAGAGGCTTCCAGGAGGCTCAAGAGGATGTGGAATACCCATAGCGTCAAAAATTTCGACGTGTGTTGCTTGCAAGCTTCTTCATCGTAAAATGGCCGAGGATGATCTTAAGAGGCGGCCATTCAACCCCCAAGACGGCCAAAGAAGGCCCGAGAGCCACCCGTGGCCAAAGGCAGTCCCAAGACCCGTCCAGAGGACCCCAAGATGGCTCGACTGAGCGTTTTAGCGAGAGCTCGGTAGAACCATCGCGCCCAAGCGGGCTCAACCCTACCATCAGGCCCCCGGGAGGCCCTCCAGAAGCCCCACGAGGCCCCCAAGAGAATTTCAAGAGGCCCCCAAAGCACACACACACACACACACACACACACACACACATGAAGCCTCCAAGACGTCTCCACGAGGCAACGCAATACCCATGTGACGTGAGAATCGCAACACGCAACAGCATTGCCGCGCTGCCTTCCAGGCACCTCCAGATGGTCCTACCGATCCTACTCGGGAGAGTTCGGCAGAATCATCCCGTATGGATTTCGATGCTGCGCTGGCACGTTGAAGGGGCTTGCCGCAGGCAAGTGAAGTGCCTCAAGACAGTCTGGAAGCATGACCCCGTGACCTGAGCACGGCCCTCTGCAAATGGTCTCTCTCTCTCTCTCTCTTTCTCTATCTTGAAGGGGCCCTGGGACACACAAATAAATAGGCACACATAACAGGATTCCCCATATTTCCTCACATTTTCTGGATTTTCGTCTTCCCCCCACTTCCCATGTTTTCCCATATTTTCCTGGGAGTCGAAGATTATTGTGTCTGTATGTGTGTGTGTGTGTGTTTTCCCTCCTGACATATATGCCCCTCTCTCTCTCCCTCTCGTACTCTCGCCGAGGGGGCATGTGGAACACCACCCGTCGGCAAGGGAGGCAGAGAGGGCACTACAGGTGCGCACGGCGTGCCGCACGAGGGGATCCGAAGCCCTGGGGCCGCACGCGCTTCCGCAGAGAGGCCACAACCTACCACCCACTAGGCCACGCGGGAGCGCAGCTGGCGGGGCGCCCCGCACCTAGGAGTCCGGCATTCGAAACGTCCTGTTCGCGGGGCACGAGTACTTGCCCCACGGGACTCCGAGGCAGTTCTGCGGGGGAGGATCCTCCAGGGCGCTCCCGATAGGGGAGAGGCCCTTTCACTGCGGAGGGAGGAGGAGGAGGAGGAGGAGAAGGAGGAGGAGGAGGAGGAGGGAGGGAGGAGGGAGGAGGGAAGGAGCTGCCCCCCAGTCTCTGGCCAGATCAAAGATTCGGGGGGGGAAACGTAGACAGGGTGCAAGCGATCAAATGCGTTTGCGGCCTTCTGGCCATCGTCAGTACTCGTAGTTTGTAACGCGTTCTTCTGACTGCTTAGTTTCTAACAAAGCGAACGTCGCCATTCTCTATGGTGTCGGCGAGACGCGTTCGCGCTGTGTCGCTGTTGTCTCGAAGGCTGCGAGATGAAGGGGGGCGCGCGGCGGTGAACGAGGACGGGAGTTGGCGGCGAGCGACGGGGGGAAGCGAGAAGGAGAAGGCCTTCTCAGAAGGCGGCGGGACTTCTCAGAAGCCCTCGGACCTTCTGAGAGGTTTTCTGCGTCCCTGGGGAAGGCCGAGAAAACTTCTCAGAAGGCTGGGGGACTTCCGAGCCTTCTGAGAAGGCCTACCCTTTCTCACTTCCCCCCTCGCTCGCCGCCGAGATGAAGGGGGGCGCGCGGCGGTGAACGAGGACGGGAGGGGGGGCGGAAAGTGGAGCGGAATGGTAGGTCCTCCAGCTCTGCCCTGGCGCGGACGCTGAAGGAGTAGGTGCCCCCGGGCGCGCAGCCTGGGGAGGAACAGAAAGCTGCCGATTCCGCTGCTGCAGCGGGCTTGTGTCGTGAGGATTTCGGCGATGGTTTCTGACACAGAACAACATGTAAGGGCTCTGTAAAAAGGAGCAAGCAATGATCTGAACCAAACTTTTGAGGTCCGGCGCCAGGGGCGGCGCCGATCCGAGAAATCCGCACGGACCTCCGAAAGTGTATGTTTATGTCATTGCTTGGTCCCCTTACAAGCAGCCTGACATTTTTTCTATGCTGCCCTGGGATAGCCAAACTCAAGAGAACAACCGGAGCTACTCCACACAATCAGAGCTACTCCAGCAACGTATGTTCGTGTCGTGAGGACTTCGGCGATGGCTTCTGACACCGCGTGGATCGCTCCACCTTGATCGATCGGCGCCTCTCCGACGGCCAGATCGTCTCACGTTGGCCGACTCTTGGCCACTTGCGGCGCTCAACCTTGAACGCCCACGGCGGGGTCGTCGCCGCGCCGACACGGCTCGAGACCACCGCACGTCTGCGTCGTTGTGTGCTCCCCGATGTTGGCGCTTCCCTGCCGGCCCTCGACAACAAAGCTCTGCTCGCCGACCTCGTCGCCCGCCGCGAACGCGCGGCACTTGCAGGCGTGGAAGCGCACCCGCGGCCTGCCCGTGGCGCCCTGCGACCGCTGCTGGACCTCGGCCGGGGGGGGGGCTCCCGGCCGAACTTCGAGTCGGTGGCCCCGTGCTCCAGGGGGGCCCAGGGAGGCACAGAGAGGCGGACACGGGTTCTGGGATCCTCGGGCAGTTTGTCCACACTTCCGGGAGTGCCGTCCTCCCCGCGGCAACTCCCGCAGTTTCGCACATGCTGCTGGCAGTCGGCGATCATCTGCGTCTGTCTATTCTTCCCTCCTGAAATATACTCGCGTCGCCAGATAAAAAGAAGCACGACGGGAAATACTGAAGAGGACCTGGGACACACAAACAAATAGACACAAATAGCAGGATTCCCCATAGTTTCCCACATGTTCTGGGTTTTTGTCTTCCCCCCATCCCCCATAGTCTCCCATATCTTCGGGGAAATCGACGATGAATTGTGTCTGTGTGTTTTTGCTCCCTCCTGAAATGCTGGTACACGTTCGCCCTCTGGGGGCCGTTGCTGGGCCCGCGGGACCGTCCAAGAACGGCTCGGGAGGAAGAACGGGCAGGTGGGGAAAAAGGGTTGGGACTTCCAGGGGCCCTGCGTCGGATGAATCCAAAACGTCGCCTGTCTGCGCCTGGGTCGACCCAAGGTCGAAGCCGAGGGTAAAAGAGAAAGCCCCTGCAGAAGTGTCAACCGTCGGAGCTCCGCGCGGTTTATGCTCATGCCGCATTGGTCTTCTCCTGCACCGTCACCTCATCCTCCGTCTCGTCTTCAGCATAATCCTCCACCCCGTCCACCTCCTCCTCTAGACAAGCGCGTTCCACCACTCGCAAAGTCTTTACTCACAAATGGCCTGGATCCGCCGCGGTGAACCCATGATACATCGCATCTAGGTAAACATGCGTATGTGTGCTTCTGACGCTTTCGAGCAGGCACTTTGCGAGTAGTGGAACGCACTCGGTGATCTTCCACCGCCACCCCCTGCTACTCTTCCACTTCTAACGGCGTCCTGCTCGTGGACCTCACCGAGTGCCACAAGCGAAATCGATCGGATCGAGGTTCTGGTTGGTTCTGGGCAGAAGGAGGCCTTTCGCAACGGGTCGCAAGCCAAAACACGCACTGGCTCATCCCGTGGCGCCCGGCGCGCGGCAGCCACGTGCCGAGAATTGCACTACGTGCGCATCCCGCGAGAGCGATTGCACGAACTATCGCGAACATTTGTGCGACCCCCTTTGCAACGGACCCGTCGGCCCGAATCCGATCTGTTGAGCAGGGACCGACCGTCCTGGCATGTCTACAGGCCTATCACAACATGTTCTTGGCATCCAAAAATGTTTCAAGAACGAAAATAATGTTTTTAGGACAGAAGCCCGATGTGTTAAAACAAGACAGTCTCGGCCAGAAATGTTCTAAGAACCTTTCGTGGAAACCACAAACGGTTCTTAGAACATTGTTTGGTAGGCCGATAGGCACGCCAAGACGCTTCGTCACTGCTTGAATCTGGGCGCACCGGCCTCGAAGGACACGTCCCGGAGCGGGTGGCCGGGGTCGGCCAGCTGCTCCAGGGCCCGCTCGTCGAAGAACCAGGACAGGCGCACCTCGCCTGCGGGCGCGCCCCCCTCGCGCGGCCTGCGCCTCCTCATGTCCCTGTCTCTTTGTCTTTGTCCCACGAAGTCCTGAGCTGGACGCACCCTGCTTCGCGGCAGGTCCTGCCGACACCTCGGCCAGCAGGCTCCTGACGGCCTGCCTCCTCCATGCATGACTCCTGCGGCCTGTCCCCCCCACATATAGATATACACACATATATATACACAAAGATATACCTCTTCGATAGGGCGGCGAGCTGGATCGGGCAGGCGATCGGCCAATGTTCGGCAGGGACTCGTCGGAAGCGAGCTGGGCACGGGGAGGGGGAGGGCAGGGGGGGGGGGTGGAAGGGGAAGGGCCGCGAGGCGGCCGAGGCGCCCTCCAAACGGCGAAGCAGAGGACAGCGAAGCGGCTTCCAGCACCGGCGGAGGGAGAGGGGCCTGGGCAGATGGGCTTGTTTTCCACCACCACCACCATAAGTTGGAGGGGGAGGGGGTCATCCTTCTCCTCCTCCTCCTCCTCCTCATCCTCCTACTCCACCTCCTCCTCCTCCTCATCATCCTTCTCCTCCTCGTCCTCCTCCTCCTCCTCGTCCTCCACCTCCATCCCTCCTCCAACTGATGGTGGTGGTGGTGGTGGTGGTGGAAAGCAGGCCCACCGCGGGCAGAGGCACCTGCCTGGCGTGATCATGGAGGTAACAGGAGACAACGAGACAACGGGGGACAATTGGGAGACAAGTGCGAGGCGGGGATTCAACCATGTCCACCGCCTGGGCACCGACGTCCCGGTGCCCCAGCGGGCGGCAGATGTGGATATATACTTTGGCTCCCGGGGACCCGAACTCATCCATACCCACCGCCTGCGGAGGTCCGCGAGGATCGATGCCGCGGGCGGTGGTTATGGATGAATCCCCGCCTCAGAACGAGGGACGACCACGGGAGACCAAGCGCCCGACCGACTCCATGTCCGGGTCCACCCGTACTCTGATTCTCAGAGAAACTATATATATATATATATATATACATATGGACAGCCCCCCCCACATGATCATACAGATTCGTCTTTACCGCGGCCGCCGATCGATATCTCCACTCTCTGTTTCCTACCACTCCCCCAATTCCTCCTCCTCCTCCTTGAAATCACCTCCACAGAAGTTCTCCCGAAATCCTAGTTGTTGTTGTGTGTTTACGTTTTGGGGGTTTTCTGAAGCGTTTTCGTTCCCCGACCCCCTTCTCCTCCTCCGGACTCCTCCTTTCCCTCCTCCCTCCTCTTCCTCCTCCTCCCCTTCATCATGCCCCCTCCCTTCCCCTCCGCTTCCAGGAGTTGCGCACAGAACTAATTGTGAACGCAGCCCACAACCAATTTTGTGAACAACCCTCCCGCTACGAGGCGTTCCTCACAAAACTAGTTGTGAACGCGGCTCCACAACTAGTTTTGTGAGTAACGCCTGTCGGCGGATGCCCGCTGCGCAACATTACTCACAAAAGTAGTTTTGGAACCGCGTTGACAACTAGTTTTACGAGTGAGCTGTTTTTCGTCACATTCGTCAAACTCCTCGTCCTCCTCTTCTTCCTCCGCACATTCCTCCTCCTCCTCCTCTTCCTCCTCCTCCCCTTCATCATGCCCTCTACTCTCCGCTTCCAGGCGTTACTCACAAAACTAGTTGCGAACGCAGCTCCACAACCAATGTTGTGAGCTACCTGCTGTTACGAAGCGTTACTTACAAAACTAATTGTGGAACCGCGTCAACTACTACGCGAGATGTTCCTCCTCACGCTCGTCATGCTCCTCATCCTCCTCCTCTTCTTCCTCCTCACCATCCTCCTCCTCCTCTTCCTCCTCTTCTTCCTCCTCTTCCTCGTCCCTCTCGTCCTCCTCCTTCCGCGTCCTCCTCCCCCCCTTCATCATGCCTCCTCCTCCTCGCCGCTTCAAGGCGTTACTCACACATCTTGTGAACGCAGCTCCACGACCAATTTTGTGAGCAACCCTCCCGCTGCGAGGCATTACTCGTAAAACTAGTTGTGAACTGGGCACCACAACTAGTTTTGTGAGTAACGCCTTTCAGCGGATGCCCGCTGCGCAACATTCCTCACAAAAGTAATTGTGGAACCGCGTTGATAACTAGTTTTACGAGCGAGATGTTCCTCCTTATTTTCGTCATGCTCTTCACCCTCCTCGTCTTACTCCTCCTGTTCCTCATCCTCCTCCTCCTCCTCCTCCTCCTCCTCCTCCTCCTCCTCCTCCTCCTCCCCTTCATCATACCCCCTCCTCCTCCGTTTCGAGGCGTCACTCACAAATATATGTGTGAACGCGGCTCCACAACCAGTTTTGAAAGCAAAAACTAATTGTGAACGCGATTCCACAACTAGTATTGTGAGCAACGCCTGTCAACGGACGCCCGCTGCGCAGTATTACTCACATTAGTTGTGGAATCGTGTTGGCAGTTAGTTTTACGAGTGAGATGTTCCGCCTCACCTTCGTCATGCTCCTCACCCTCCGTATCTTCCTCCTCACCCTCCTCCTCCTCCTCCTTCGATTTCACTAGGAATCCTGTTGTGGAGGATTTCTATAGGAATCGTTCTGTCGAGGGTTTCAACATGAAGCCGTCTGTGGAGGGTTTCAATTGGAATCCTCCTGTGGAGGGCTTCAATAGGAATCCTTCGGTGGAGGATTTGCAGAGGAGCCCTTCTGTGCAGGATTTCAATCGGAATCCTTCTGTTGAGGGTTTTAATATGAACCTTTTTGTGAAGTGTTTCAATTTGAACCCTTTCTGTGGAGGTTTCAACAGGAACCTAACTGTGGAAGGCCATGTGGGGGGTTTCATCCGGAATCCATGTGCAAAGGATTTCAATAGGAATCCGAGTCGTGGGAAGTCAACTTAAATCCTTCTGCGGTGGGATTCATAAGGACACCTTCTTCTGAGAATTTCGATAGAAACCCTTCCATGGAGGATTTCCACATGAATCCTTCTGCGGAGGATTTCAATAGGACTCCTTATGTGGAGGCTTTCACTGGGAATACCGTTGTGAAGGATGTCAGCAGGAATCCTGTTGTGCAGGATTTCAGTTGGAATCCGAATGTGGAGGATTGCATTAAGAACCCTTCAAGAACCCTCCCGTCGGACGAGGAGGAGGATGAGAAGAGGCATGCAGAACATGAGGACGCAGAAGAGGAGGCGGAGGTGGAGGAGTCGGAGTAGAGATGCAATCGATGGCAATGCAGAGAATTGGATTGCAATGCGTCGCACACGATTGTAACATGTATGATTGCAGTCGCTTCCGGTGGATGCAACTGGCTTTCATCAATCGAGTCGGTGCCAACCCCTTGGCTTGCGGTACATTGAATTACAATCGATTGGATTGTAAATGATTGGAGTGCAATCGATTAGATTGCAATCGACTGGTTTGCAGATGACAAGATAGCAAAATCTTGAAGAACAGGAGGAGGGAAGGGGGAGGGAGGACTGAAGGGGATAAAGGGAGAATGGGTATGATCATGTGAGGGGCGAGCACCTATATATATATATATATATATATATCTATATATGTGTGTGTGTGTTGGCGTGTGTGCATGTATGTAGGCATGTAGGTGTATAGGTAGGGATGTAGCTATGTAGGTATGTAGTTATGAGTGTATGCATGTATGAGTGTATGCATGTAGTAGGTAGGTAGATAGGCAAGTATGTGTCCATGTATGAGTGTATGTGCACGTGTATGCATGCATGTATGTATGCATGCATGTATGTATGTATGTACGTATGTATGTATGTATGTATGTATGTATGTATGTATGTATGTATGCATGCATGCATGCATGCATGTATGTATGTATGTATGTATGTATGCATGTATGTATGTATGTATGGTATATACGTATGTGTGTATGTGTATGTATGGAAGTGTGCATGGCTGTGGGAATGGATGTGTATGTACGTGTATATATATGTATGCATGTGTGTACGTATGCACGCATGTGTGTAGTTATGTCTGTAAGCACACATACAAACGTACATGCATGCATGCATGTTTGTCGTTTTGCCTCTGTCGGTATGTCTGTCTGCCTGTCTGTCTGTCCGCCTGTAGATATAAAGGTACGTATGGATGTAGGTATGTAGGTAGGTATGGTTTGACGTATGTACGCATATATGGACGTATGCATGTACATGTGTATGTATGTATATGCGTATATATGTATACATGCATGCGTGTACGTGTGTTTGCCTGTCTGTCCGTCGATCGGTATGTAGTTATGCATGATATGTCTGTGTGTATGTATGTATGCATGCATGCATGCATAAACGTTTAGTTTACATGTGCATGTTACTATAGGGCCCGTACAGACGAGCTGATTGGGGAACCATGGGCGAGGAATGTCACCCCCTTCGTGTGCCTGGGCTGCGCCTGGGCAGATGCGCGAAGCTCGCTGGAGCGAGCCGCTGGGAACATCGAGCCGCTTCCGAAGCCACCGCGAATATTGCCCCAGAGCTTCGACTGCAGTGAAGAGCCCCCCCCCCGAGCAATCAGGAGCTGCTCAAAATCCGCCCCCTGGCCTCACCTGAGGCACCGCCAGAGTCTACGTTCCCAATCGCCCCCACACGTGTCGCTGAAGCCCCATCTTCCAAATTCGCCGACAAACAATGGAGCCTGCCCCTGCGTCCGCCCCCCTCCCCGTCATTCACTCCTCCCGCCCTCCCGCATTCCCCTCCTGCCCCCCCCCCTCACTCCTCCCGCTTCTCTCGCCCTCCGACCCTGTACCGTCTCTCGTCCAGTCTCCCTCCTCCGTCGGCCGTTCTCCGTCGCCTCCTCAACCGTATTCGGCATTCCTAACTCCTCCTCGTCACCCTTCTTATCCTCCTCGTCCTCAGTATCAACATCGTAATCACCGCCAGCAGTCCAACCCTTTTCACCACGTGATACGTCCTCACACCTCCTGATCCTCAGACTTGAAGCTTACACCAATTGGGCGCCTGCAGTGCTGCCAATGTTAATCATCCATGGTATTGAGTGCCACCTCGCATGTCATGGTCCTAGAACTTCATACTCACAATAGCTGCACGGAAGGAGGGTACCAGTTCAACAACAGGCCCTCAAATGAGAGTTCGTTACATATCACGTCAACGACGCTATACGGATGCAGGCCTGCACCTGGATCAGCATCGTTATCTTGCTTCGGCGCTGCTTGAGCTGCTGCAGAATCAATCAACATGGCATGGATGCGGGCATCCTCCTCCCTTCCACCTCCTCCCCCTCCCCCTCCTCCTCCTCCTCCTCCTCCTCCTGCTCCTCCTCCTCCTCCTCCTCCTCCTCCTCCTCCTCCTCCTCCTCCTCCTCCTCCTCCTCCTCTCTTCCCCCTCCTCCATCCGCGGTCCTCCCTCCTCCTTTCTCATCCTCCTGCCTACAATTATGCTTCTCCTCCTCCACCTCCCCCTCCTCTTCCTCCTCCTCCTCCTCCTCCACCTCGCCTCCTCCTCCTCCTCCTTCTTTCCTCCTCCTCCTCCGCGTCTTCATCCTCATTCGCCTCCTCCTCCTCCTCCCCCTCCTCCCTCCGCGGTCCACCCTCCTCCTTTCTCATCCTCCTGCCTACGATTATGCTTATCCTCCTCCACCTCCGCCTCCTCCTCCACCTCATCTCCTTCTCCTCATGCTCCTCCTCCTCCTGGTCCTCCCTTCCCGCTCCTCCCTCCGCGGTCCTCCCTCCTCCTTTCTCATCCTCCTGCCTATGACAATGCTTCTCCTCCTCCTCCTCCTCCTCCTCCGCCTCCGCCTCCGCCTCCTCCTCCTCCTCCACCATCTCCGCCTCCTCCTCCTCCTACCCCTCCTCCTCCTACTCCTCCTCCTCTTCCTCCTCCTCCACCTCCGCCTCCTCCTCCTCCTCCACCACCTCCGCCGCCTCCTCCTTCTCCACCTCCGCCTCCTCCTCCTCTTCTTCTTCCTCCTCCTCCTCCTCCTCTTCATAGTTTTGGGGAGCAGCCAGGAGCATGGGGAGGGCACGCCTCGGGCGCCCCCGCGCAGCAGCAGGTCCTCGGGGGCACGCAGGACGAAGTCCCCGCCCTCCTCGCAGTCCATGCGGACCTCCTGGAGGCTTCCAAATGAGCGACGATCACAAACGGGTCTTTACGCGAGATGACGAAGCGACCCTTCGCGATGGCTTACGCGGGCCGCAGGCGCGTCACGTGGCATTGGAGACGAGGGCGCTCACGCGCGACCTTACACGGGCAGCTTACGCGCCAAGCGTCACCCAAATGGAATCCAAGCAAATGTCGGGCGCGGCCTAACCGACCCCTAGCAAACCGTCCCCTTCCGTGACGTCACCCTCGCATTTCAAGCTTCCCTCCGGCGGCATACATACGTCTCAGGGCGAGGCGAGGGGGGCGCGTCGCGGGAGGGAATGGTTTGCTAGGGGTCTGCAAGGCCGCCCCTGAAGATGAGGTCAGAAGATCGGACCGCATCGCCGATGCATCGCCGATGCATCGGCGACGTCGGCGATGCGTCGGCGACGCGCTGGGGCCGTCGGCGTTGAGAACATCGGGCTCAACATCCCCTGAGATCCGACGTCGGGGAACAGAAATCAAAATCGCGAGAAATCACGACCAGAGCCCTGGACCCCATCTTTCTGCGGTATTACTCGAGCTGGATCACTGGGCGAAGAAATTGCAGCGCCCGGACCTAAGGGTCGAGCAGAATCGCCGATGTATTGGCGATGACGCGCCATCCTCCGACCCAGCCTGCTCGGACCCCTTCGGATGCAACTTCTGGGAAATCCTCGTCAGAACGATTAGGGGCGACTCATCCCGATGAAGAGGCCATCAAGCCGAATCAGGTCGGATTGAGCCCAGGATGGCTGGATCCAGCGGGATGAAGCCCGATCATAGCGGGATTCAGCTGGACTGTCAGCTGGATTGAGCCAGGCTGGGCCAGTGGACCTACTGGCGCAGCCTCTGCGTGGACCCTCCCAGGAGAGGCGCCCTCCAGGCCCTCAAGCACAAAGGACACGGGCACGGAGGGCAGCGGGCCCAGGACCCCCGGACACTCTCCGCCAAGACCAGGCGTCCATCCCGAGACGCCTTCTGACCGTCCCGGGGTCCTCCTCCTCCTCCTCCTCCTCCTCCTCCTCCTCCTCCTCCTCCTCCTCCTCCTCCTCCTCCTCCTCCTCCTCCTCCCCCCCCGCCTCCTCCTCCTCCTCCTCCTCCTCCTCCTCCTCCTCCTCCTCCTCCTCCTCCTCCTCCTCCCTCCTCCTCC